AGTTTTGCTGTTGTGCTCATTGAGTGCAGCTGTAACAGTTGTTAACACCTCAGTGTTACTGAAATTTGTCAGCAGTGGACAGTTAGGGCAGACTTGGAGGAGATCTTCACTTGAGTCTGCAGGAGGAACCAAACAGATTAAGTTTCAATCAGATTGTAGGTTGTTTTGAAAGGCATTATAGACCTATTCAGTCACACAAAACACTGTTTTGTGGTCTGTCCCAAATTCCAGTGGAAGGACTTTTTGCAGGACAGACTAGAGATGGCAGTATTTCACACGACTTCTACCAGCCAAGTCGTTTCTGCAAGCAAAAGTGCTATGGACTTCAATAGCACATTTTTAATGTTCTTACTCAGGTTTTAATTAATTCTCTTTGTGGCAAACTATCCATGACACTAATGAAAAGATGTCTCAGCTCACACAAGGAATGGTGGAAAAATGAAGATATTTTAATTTATTGGAATTGTGTTTGTGTGAGCATGTTGTTTCATTCACTCACCAGTTTTGAAAATAGTGCTGAAGACATCTAGTACAGAGCAAAGAGGTCTCATATCGAGCATGCAGAACAGACATTCCACTTTCCCAGGGCAATATTGAAAACACTGGGTTTAGTAAATAAACTGCATCTGTTAAAGGGGTTCTGAAGATCAACTAGGTCTAGTCATTTCAGACCAACAAGTAATAAAATTCTTGAGGCTAAACTCCTGAGTTAAAAGTTCCAGTGGTACCAGCAATCTCTAGGTCAAATCTGGGACTTGTTTCCCAGATAGTCTTATAGTATTCTAATTGTCAGAGTAAAGAGGAGCAAAGGGACAAGGTTGGATTTGTAGGTGAATGAAATCAGAAAAGGGGAAAAAATTACTTTCAAAACCACTGTGTTTAGAAAACCTATTAACTATTATCCTTTATGTTGTATTTATACACAGTATTTTAGAATCAGAAAAGCCAGGGAACTGTAACCACTGCTATAATAATACTCCAGCCTCTAGATGCAAACCTAAAGAACAAAGTCTTTACCTGCATGTGAGTGGCATTTACTAGCAAGGATAGAGAACTTCCCATCCACCCTCCGCAGTTTGACATCACAATCACCCTCAACTGCCTGGAGAGAACAAAAATCAAAGGGTTACATCATTCAGATAAACAGGAATTTCTGAAAAGGGGAACTATTACTAAATTCAGAATAACAGATCCTGACTGAGTGTTCCTGGCAAAATCAGTCTGATTGCAAAGGTGCTGCTAGGCGTGTCCTAGTGTCTGTGATTTTGTAAAAGGCAAACCAGAGCTGCGAAATTTGGATCCAAATCTGGATCCCAAAAGTATCAGAAGTGCCAGGGTAGCCAGATTATGGACATTTGGTTCAGGTTTCTCTCTCATAAAGAGCAAAGAATATGAATACTTTTTAATTAAGACCTTCTGCAGAGCTGTTTGATAACATTCTCTCTAATCTCAGTTGGTCAGTGGCCATGGTAACAACAGCATGCTGCCTTGTGTGAGCTTGCTCACATGCAACGTGTTCCAGCAGAGAGGAGAAGTCAGAGGCAAAGCTGGAGTCACCAGGAAGAGGGAACAGTTAAGAGTTACCTCCTCCAAGATGGAAAATGGGATCTGAGCCCTGGTGAATAGAGGGGAGGGTCATGATTCAAATTTAGTCATGAGCTCTGTGAATTGGGCCCCATTCTAGATACAGCAGGCTTAAATTGTCAGCTGCTCACTCTGCTTTCTGCTTAGAAACCAGAGCTGCCTGTACTCAGACAAGACTTCCACTGCTTTGGTTAGGGAGAGCTTTTCACAGTTGGATCACACTTGAATAAGAACAAAATATTTGAGACCAATAAATTCCAGCTGAGCATTGCTTTGAAGGCAGAGCTCTGTCTGAAGGGAATAGCTCTTCTGCAGTATTGACTAGGACTAGGTGGCTAGACTTGACAGGATTTCATTAGGTAGCACCTCACATGTAGCCAAAGGGAGGTTGTGTTTTTGCAGATTCACAACCTGCCCTCTCCGCAGTTTGCAACAAGGCAGTCACATCTGGGCTGACCATGGAGGGCTGAATCTGGAGCCCCTAAAGAAGACACTGTGGCATTCATGAACTGTATGTGGGATGTTATGATGACAGTCATCTGTCCCCTTCACATAACAGGACATGAAAGAAATCCCAGAGTGAAATCCTTCATGACGTGAAGGCAACTAAATCAACAAGGAAGTTACAAGTGGTTGGTTGGTTATAGGCTGTTACAGTCATATCACATTTGCTTGAAAATCTAGCTGATGATAGCCTGGCCTCTAGCATCAACATATTCAACATGCACCTTTGGATAGAGCTAGTAGTGTTTGAGATACTCACATGTTCTGCAAAGCTCCTTACTGTGCAATTTTCAAGAGGCGTAGGGCTGAGAATGGGGCATGTGGTCTCTAATAAGTCAAGTTCAAGAAAAATAATGTCAGAATTCAGCCCCTGGAAGAAAAAACAAAACAAAACAACACAGGAATTGTAGTAATTGCTTCACAAAACATCACCAGATCTCTTATCTGGGGCTGTGCTTTGGTCTCTGTTGCTGACTGGCATTGAGTAGCTCCAGGTATGCACTAGAGTAACTGAATAGGTCCTTACTATTTAACTTCATAAAAAATAGGACCTAGTTTTTTAACTGGAGTAAGTCAAGATACTCACACTGATTTTTTCCAGCCAAGGAACTGCCCATAAATTTTGGAAAGTCCAGCCTGTATGTAGTGGGTCAGTTCTTTTAAATTAACTTTATTTTATTTTGAGTAGTTTTTAAAAATCAACAGCTGTCTTTGTTGATGAAAAAACTTCATATTTCTATAACCAGGTACCAAATAAACACTGGTGCGCATTGGCCTGTCCCATTTAGTCCATTGGAGTTACACCAAATCGCACCAGATAAGTTCCAGCCCCAATACTCATGTTGTTTAGGGACTACAAGATCTTTTATGGTTGTTCCTCAACCTTTGCAACTATAACATAGGACATGTAAGTGGAAGGAAAGAAGTGAGGTTCCCTAGCTCCAAGATTGACTCTGAGATTTGTCATGAGTGATTCCATTTAAGTTATTTTAGTGTAAAAGTATTAAATATGAGCCAAGCAGTGTCACCAGTGTTTTTGTGTGGGCAACTGTGGGCACACTTATAATCTTATTAATGTATGTTTTAATCTCTTGTAAATTACTTTGGTACCCTCTCTCTCCTAACAAGTAGAAAACATCCATAGAGTTTCATTCTTGTTAATATTTGGGACCATTTTCAATGTTATGAGGGAATCAAAGGCTCTGAATGGGTGCATACATTGTATTCACGACCATTTCTACAGCCTTTCTAGATGCCTACAATGATGGCAACAGATCTTAGTGAAAATGAGACTATAAGCCTCAGGTATTTCCATTCAGCTCCCTTGTCAGCTCAATGGGATATTAGGTAAAATTAATGCCTACTACAAAATCACTAATAGCATGGAGTTATGATAGGTATGCATTTAGCCAATAAATAATTACCTGCATCACAAAGATTATCCTCACAGTTTTTCTCCAGATTAGCTACTGGGCTCATGAATCAGCACTTGGAATGATCTGCCCTAGCAAGCGTGCTGCATTTGTATACTGAGCCCTTTCTAGCATTGCACAAAAATACCTGAACATTTCTCTCTCCCTCTCTGTTCTGCTCTTTGAGAGATGCATTCCAGTGACCTGGATTCTCAACTGCTACCAGGTGGTATTGCCCCATTTAAATCAACAAGCCATGCTGATTTACTCCGTGTGAGCATACAGACTTTGGCAGGGCTTGTTGGTCATTTCCAAACATCTTCAGGTTAACACAGTGCTCTACCTGCAAGTTCCTCACTTACCTTGGCTATCACGCGGATATTCTTGATTCTGTTTAAGGCAAACTTGTATCCGTGAAGACTGTGGCCATTAACATAACTCACAGCTGCTTCAGCTGCTTCTTCAGATTCTGGGTCATCGCAGCCCAAGGGACCAGGGGGAGCTGCTGGTACAGCTTTGTGAATTGGAAGCTGAACAAGCAATATTAAAGCTACTAGTGCCTTCATGGCACCTGAGAAAAACCAATCCCTTTCAGCAATAAAGATCTAAGAATACTGTTCAGATGGTAGGTAGGTAGCTAGAACTGGGGTCTCATTTATATAGTACATACCACAGACTTTGCATGAGCGCATGTCTGATGTTTGTCCCAGTTCCAAGAGGCATTGCAAACAACAAAAGAGAAAAGTAAATGTTAGGACATCAAGCTGACTGATTAATATTGGCCAAAGTAAATTTTATCAGGTAGAATATTGCGAAGTCTGCTAAAGCAGCTAAAGAAGAAAGCGTCAGCAAAAATGTAACATAATTTTTAGACACTTTTCTACCAACCAAATACAGTACATGGAAGAGGAATATGATCCCTCCTGTTAAATGTGTAGAGATGCTAGTGCTAATTAAGCTTTCTTGTAAACAGGACACATTCTGTTAGGGCCCAAATCTCACCAGACACCAGTCTAAATTGTGAGATAAGTAACATGATAAATTAGAAAATGGAATCTGAATCAGTTCTAAGGATCACATTCAAAAGTAAATGTAATTATATAGCAACTTTTGCAACTGAATTCATTTGGAATTGGAAATGAGACATAGTTTCTAAATCTTTTGCATCAGCTCTTTGTTTCTCTGAATAATCTGAATACTTCCATTAGTTCCTGGAATTTTATTTTGCAAAGTAAGCGTCTTGTAGAAATTTTTTGGAATATGTTGTACAGATTTGAGGACTTGGCATAGGACCCTAATGGGCACAAAAGTGTTTTAAGGAGAATGTAGCTGCTTAAATGCTCAGGAGTGCTGGACTTCAGCTTATATTTACATTCACAGTGTATGTGTTTACAAAACATTAACTGGATAATAAAAATGTTCTATAGAGCAGAATATAGCTTCTATGATGTGTCCAGCATTTAAGGTCTTTAATTCAAACTGAGATGACTTTAACTAAATAGACTCTAGCTAGCTAGACTGTGGCTTTACCAGTAGCAAAGTTTTTCCTGTGGGGATTGCAGAGTAGGTTACTATGATCCATTTTAGGGTGGCGATCAGGATGCAGACTAGTAAAGATCCCTTCTGGCTTTAAAATACCTGAATCTCTGTCATCATTTTCCAGGAGTTCAGGAATTGGCTGCAGACTGGAGACAAATAGGAAGACTTCAGAATATTTAGAAGTTTTCACTTTAGATAAGTATTTCTCAGCTCACATGATAGGGTGGAGTGGGGCTAAAAGATTTATGAAAAAAGCAGTCTTGAGTCGTGCCTCTCTCTTCTTGAATCTGGAAATATGGAAAACAGCATAAATAGAAATGGTTCTGTTGGACAGATTAAGCGATGAAGAAGGACAATGGGAAGAGATTAAAAAGACAGAATGGTTTCCTTCAGCTGTGTGGGACAAGGTGAGTTTTGGATACTAGGATTTGCATATTAAAGAGGTTCCTGGGGAAAAGAAAGACTCTTCCTCTCTTGTGGTAAAAAATTGCTCTGAGCATGATTTGTTTCTTCCCCTCACTTGAAGCAGGTGTTGTTTGGCATTTGTTCTGTTGTGTGGGTGATCATTTGTATCCTTGACGTTGGCCTGGAATACTTAAAGGACGAAGGTTTGGTGTCCCAATAACAGGCTCTTGAGTGTTGCTTGTAGATACCTTTTGAATCATGGCAAAAAAACAGGATTTATTATCTTCTTTCTTCCCTCTCCATTGTCACTCACATTCAGTATTCCATTTACCAAGCAGGACAAAAAGGAAATACTTTGGAGTCCACTGTACCTCTTTTCAATTTCTCTGTAGGCTTACTCAAGACCTTCCCCTCTTGGTGGCTGTATGAACTTCCTTTGCTGTCATACAGAGCATCATAAATGTGCCCACACAATTATTAATGCTCAGTGCAATGCAGAATGTTTGCAGCTAGCACTTTTTGGGTGACTTGTGCTATGTGTGAGGAAATTGGTCTTTGGTTTTTATGTCTGGGAATGGAGTTTGAAAGTACAATCAGGTAGTTTGGCTATGAGTAATATGACAAAGGAGCCTTTCGCTTTTTGGATACAGACTGACACAGATCTGCCTAATTATTCCTTTTGGGAAGTGAGATTGCTGATGTCAGTTCCCCGCAGGCCTGTGTCCCCTCACATCAGGCCCTCTTTTGGCGCCCTCACTCAAGAAGCAATAATTGCAGAAATAACTTCTCATTGAACTCAGCGTAGATCTATTCTCTCTCTTTCTTGTCTGGGACACAGTAAAAAGTTGTCCTTTAGTAGTGGCTGCAAATAGTTCTTATAGCACAAGAAGGTGAGCTGAATTCCATGAGCTCCTGGACAGAAGGTCACATCTTGAACAAGCCTTTCACGGAATCACAGTAGCACAGAATGGTTGATATTGAAAGGGACATCTGGAGGTCATCTTGTCCAACCCCACTGCACAAGCAGGACCACCTAGAGACAGTTGTCCAGAACCATGTCCAGATGGCTTTTTAATAACTCCAAGAAGGGAGACTATACAACCTCTCTGTGTTCAGTCACTCTCACAGTAAAAAAGCGCTTCCTGATGTTGAACCTCATATTTCAGTTTGTGCTCATTGCCGCTAGTCCTGTCACTGGGTACCACTGAAAGGAGCCTGGCTCTGTCCTCTTTACAACCTCCCTCCAGGTATTTATTTACATTAAGATGCCCTCAAGCCTTCTCTTCTCTGTGCTAAGCAGTCCCATCTCTCTCAGCCTTTCCTCATAAGAGAGGTGCTCCAGTACCTTAATCATCTTTGTGGCCCTTTGCTGCACTGTCTCCAGTATGTCCATGTCTCTCCTGTACTGAGGAGCCCAGAATTGGACACAGCACTCCGGGTGTGGCCTCACCAGTGCTGAAAAAGGGAGAAGGATCACCTCCCTAAAGCTGTTGGCCATACTTTGCCTAGTGCAGCCCCGAATACCGTTAACCCTCTTTGTGGTGAGGACACGCTGTTGGCTCATGTTGAACTTCGTGTCTGCCAGGACCCCCAGGTTCTTTTCTGCCAAGCTGCTTTCCAGCTAGGTGGGCCCCAGCATATGTTCATGCATGGGGTCATTCCTCCCCAGATCCAGGATTTCAGACTTCTTGTTGAACTTCATGAGGTTCCTGTCAGGACATTTCTCCAGCCTGTTGTGGCAGCATGACCCTCTGGCACATCAGCCACTCCTCCCAGTTTTGTGTCATCTACAAACTTGCTGAGGGTACACTCTGCCTCATCATCCAGATAATTGATGAAGATGTTACACAGGACTGAACCCCAGTGTTGACCCCTGGGGTACACTGCTAGTTACTGCCCTCCAACTAGACTTTGTGCCTCTGATCACCACCCTCCGGGCCCAGCTACTCAGTCAGTTTTCAATCCACCTTAATCCACCTTTCACGTCAGTAGTGTTAGACTTTGGCCCTAGTGAATTAGGTTGCCTGAGAGACTTGACAAGGCTTCACTCTGATGGAAGTAGAACAAGCTGGGTTTACTGCCCTTGTTATATAAAATATAGTATTGATTCTGTGCTCAAGAATTGAGGCTCCACTGAATCTCAGTTCTTAATAATTCATATAAACCACAATGGAAAGGTGAGTTGATGGTTTTCTTTTTCGCTTTCTCTTTTTTTTTTGGTTGGATGCTTAGAACAACTAGTGATGACTGGAAACTTTCTGCCCCTGCTCAACCTCATCTGGAAAAAAAGACAATAATTGCTTCCACAATGTCAAGTTGACACCTTCCTGAGCTTAAAATTCAAATAAATTAAACAAGCAAACAGATAAATATCATTTTTTTAAGGCTTTAGATCAAAGTTAAACATTTATGGGGATTTCTGAGGCTCTCTTTTCAGATTACTAAAACATCATTTTTTGGTAAAGCAGACAGAACTGGTCCAATTCTTTGCACCACATCAAAAGATGCATTTCTGAGCAGTCAGGCATTGTACAATACTGCAAAACTTAATCACCTCTTGCTTTACACTTGATTAAGTACATTACTTTTGGATCATAGAGTTCACAAGATATTGGAACATCAGAGCTGTCTTCTATATAGCCACCACCTACACCGAAACCTGCACGCTAAGGAAAGAGAATGAAGGGAAAATGTCAGATAGTTAAAGTGACCAGTCTTGTCAAGGCAGCATATTGCTTCCTTAAGTGACAGTATAATCACCATTTAAAAATAAAGTGTATGAAAACCCATAGAGGTCTGAGAAAAACCTCAAGACAAATTAGACTAATCAATTTGCATAATCTTATTGGCCCCTTTCCATTACATGGGCAAACCTTCAGCAGATGTAAATTGGCTTAGATTCACTACAGCCCAAGTCCCCCAGTGTCCCTATACCAGAAATTCCAGGCTGTAGAAAAACCTGTGAAGTCTGAACAGTTTTACCAGACTGTAACACCAGAACATTATATGTTAATTCTTTTGTTTGTTTGTTTTAAATATGAGAGTTTTAAGGGAAA